ATACTCTGCTTCAGCTCATCTACTCTCTGATTGGTGAACATATTTCTGTATATACGATATTATCCATAATAGAAGAAAGTTCATAGTTATTTACATTTCAAGTGGGATATTACAGACATCGTAATATTGTATCCGACATAGGTAATTATAATTGAATCTACATCCAAAAAAATGTAATCATATTACCTTAAACGTAAGGTAATAGATTGGAATACTAGTGCGGTAATAAGTAATAGGTATAGGTATGCGTTATGATCAGTTATGACATAAGAAACATTGACGAATCATAGTCATAACATGATAATGATTTTAGATAATACAAATTCAACTTTCTGTAGGAAATCGCGTGATTTTACAACTTTGATGAAATGTATGATCCCAACTCGCAAGCCCCCTATGCTTATTCGGCTCAATATGATCGACAAGAATGGATAAGAGAAAGTGACCGTTATTTGTCCTATCATAACTCATAAATGAGTAATATTGTCGGATATTTGATGTACAGGGTGTTTTTTTATATATTGACACCCCACTTACTTCCTTTTACCTTTACAGGTAGAAGAAAGGTGTAAATACAAAAGTTGTATACTTTTGGCTAAATTTTTAGAATCCATGGTCAAAAACCAAAATTAAATATTTGAAATGTGAATAAATGTTGCATGCTTTCAGCTTTTTTCAAATGGGATGCCCTATATTTGGTTCTATATTCTTGAAGAGTACAATTTTCCGATTCCAAAAATATATAGCTTTTCTATATTTAATTGAGCCGTCTCCAAAATATTTGGTTCTAAAAATACCATCAGAGAAATCAAGTACCTCAAATTTTACCTGCAGCTTTCCCCTGCACAGGTAGAATGGTTCACAAAATCAGTTAGTAGGATAGAGGATAGTATTTTCACAAATTTTGGAGCCGAATATATGAGAGACTGCTCAATCAAATATAGACAATATTATATATATTTTTGGAATCGGGCATTGTGCCCTTCAAGAATATAGAACTGAATATATGGCATCCCATTTGAAAAATGCCAGAAGCATGCGAAATTTCACATTTCTGACATTCAATTTTTGTTTCTGACCATGGATTCTAGAAATCTAGCCACACCTGTATAACTTTTGTAAATACACCTCTCTTCTACCTACAGAGGTAAAGGCTGTAGGTGGGGTGTCAATATATAGAAAAACACCCTGTACAAATAAGTGGATTATTGCGGAACTTATGGGTGGACCTCTGCGGGACGAGCGCAGCGAGTTCCGCAGCCATCTACTTATCAATATACTGTTGAACTGTTCAAATAAGACACTGACCTGAAACGTGTAGTTTTTGAACTAATGAGAAAAATTCACAACTGAGTGAATCTGGTTAGTATTGTACTTGAACAACATATTTTTATTTTTTTTATTTATTTATTTATTCAATTCTTTACAAACACTATATAGAAAAACAGTAATTATATGCAAAGAATAGACACTAGGGTCTCAAAGAAAGAAAGAAATACTTAACAAACTAGAACTAGATTAAAAATTATTAAAAAACAAAAGGTAAAAAAGGACATGATGTACATATAAAATATATCACACTAATTTATCACAAACAACATAATTGACCGTTTATAAAATCAATTCATAACTCATTTAACATTTAACACTTATATTATATAATTAACAAGTAAACAGTAACCTGATTTCTTTGGCATTAGTTTTAAATATATCAAAATCTTTAGACTCTGACAAAGCATTACAATTTGCTCACATATTATTTAGTGGAGATATACTTCCCAGAGTTACAAAGAATGTTTTTTTATTAAGGATTCTTAGATTAGGTTTAGGAACATTGAATTTAATGAAATTAATAATCTTGCAATAATTATAGTTTAAGTCATTTACAATAAAAAACACAAACAAAGCTGTATTTTGATTCCTTCTCTCACATAGAGTTGTATAACTAAAACCCTCGAGCATACTCCTATATGAAAGCATGTAAGGATAAGTACCATTTTCCCTGTAATAGAGATACCTCATATTGGTGAATAGATGGCTCGGTCCACCGGTTCCGCAACAATCCGCTCGTTTATACTTGAATAACTTGTCACAATATATTACTAGTTTGGTGAAGTAATATTGCTAATTCCTGTTGAAATGCAAATTGACAAAAAGTGGATAATCCTTACAAGTTCTGATTTTATATAATAAGTTATTGTTCAAGTACAAATAAGTGGATTGTTGCGGAACTTATGGGCGGACCTCTGCGGGACGAGCGCAGCGAGTTCCGCAGCCGTCTACTCACCAACATACTGTTGAACTGTTCAAATAAGACACTCACCTGAAACGTACGTAGTTTTTAAACTAATGAGAATAACTGACATTTGAGTGAGTCAGGTTAGTATCGTACTTGAACAACATATTCTTGAATAGATGGCTGCGGGACAAGTTCAAACGAGTGGATTAATGTGGAACTTATGGGTGGACCTCTGCGAGACGAGCGCAGCGAGTTCCGCAGCCATCTATTCACCAATATGTTGTTCAAGTACGATATTAACCTGACTCACTCAAATGTTAGTTATTCTCATTAGTTCAAAAACTACACGTTTCAGATGAGTGTCTTATTTGGATAGTTCAACAGTATATTGGTAAATAGATGGCGGAACTTATGGGTGGACCTCTGCGGGACGAGCCATCTATTTACCAATATACTGTTGAACTATCCAAATAAGACACTCATCTGAAACGTGTAGTTTTTGAATTAATGAGAATAACTGACATTTGAGTGAGTCAGGTTAATATCGTACTTGAACAACATATTGGTTAATAGATGGCTGCAGAACTCGCTGCGCTCGTCCCGAAGAGGTCCACCTATAAGTTCCACATTAATCCACTCGTTTGAACTTGAATAACTTGTCACATTATGTTACTAGTTTGGTAAAGTAACTACAAATTCTTGTTGAAAGGCAAATTGACAAAAAGTGAATAATGTTACAAATTCTGACTTTATATAATAAGTTATTGTTCAAGTACAGTGTTTTTTTAAATGTAATGACACCCCACCTACAGCCTTTACCTTTACAGGTAGATGAAAGGTGTAAATACAAAAGTTGTATATTGATTAAATTTTTAGAATCCATGGTCAGAAACAAAAATTGAATGTCAGAAATGTGAAATGTTGCATGCTTTCAGCTTTTTCCAAATGGGATGTCATATATTTATTTCTATATTCTTGAAGAGCACAATTTCCCGATTCCAAAACTATATAGTTTGTCTATATTTGGTTGAGCCGTCTCCAACATATTTAGTTCTAAACATTTTAAAAATACTATCAGAGAAACCAAGTAGGTACCTCAAATTTCACCTGCGACTTTCACCTGTACAGGTAGAATGGTTGAATGGTTCACAAAATCAGTATAGTAGGATGATAGTATTTTTACAATTTTTGGAGCCGAATATATGAGAGACTGTTCAATCAAATATAGACAAACTATATATTTTTGGAATTGGGGCATTGTGCTCTTCAAAAATATAGAATGAGATAAAGGGCATCACATTTGGAAAAAGCTGGAAGCATGCAAAATTACACATTTCTGACATTTAAATTTTGTTTCTGACCATGGTTTCTAAAAAATCAGCCAAAACTGTACAAGTTTTGTATTTACACCTTCCTTCTACCTGTAAAGCTAAAGGCTGTAGGTGGGGTGTCAATATATAAAAAAACACCCTGTACAATACCCCACCTATGATTTGATGTTGAAGAGCTACTCCTGTAGCCAAAAGACTATAAATATTTATATAAATTCCTCCAATATATAATCTCGGTTTAGTAAAGATTCTATAATCGGTACACATCTACATACATAACAAGTATAATTTTCCATAATACACACGGGAAACACCAGGCTGATTAAAATGGACCACAATGAGAAACGTCATGCTCGAAAAACCGCAATACAGGTTTAGTTTCCTCTCGAGATAAGACCAAACGCTGATGTTGTGCTCTCTCTGCCTTTACAGATTGTTTTTATCTTGTAGAGAGATAAGGTGAAGAGACTATACCAGAAATCAGTCGGATATGACGAGAATAGGGAAGGTCAACAGTCTTTTGGTTAATGTATTTATTAGTACAATTGAAAACAAAGAAAATTTCAAAAATTGATACAGATGCAATCGTTTATTGAGGGCGACTTCACAAAGTTTACTTACTTTAAAAATAGCTATCATTTTAGCAAAAAACACCAAAGTTCACTGTATCAGCAAAACTGATGTAAGCTTAAAAAAGTATGAATTGTATTTTGCACTTAAATTGCATTTACTATAATAGGCACATCAATCTTTGGCGCCGTCTATATGTGATATTCTATTAGTCATCGCTAAATAATCGTAACTACAAAATTTAACTCTTTATTTAAGCTATCAATCCCTAGTTGATGGAACTTTTTTAAATAGGCCGTCCGTCGATGCATATATACAGGATTTTTTTTTGAAACTTGGTGAACTTGGACCGGACTTTCCTATCCAAATGTCATATTAATATAATATTCGAGGTACACTAATATGCTTTTATTATCATAACAACAAATCCTTAAACTGATCAAAAAACTGGACTAAAGTTGAACAATCTTTGCTTAGCCTCGACGATACCGGGAATAATTTGTGGGATTGTCTTTAAGTAAACTAATTCCCGATAAAGCCGGAACTGAGACAGAGAGAATAAGATCTCGTCCGAATGACGAACAAAACAAACTAAAGTAGATAAATAATAAATTTCTTTTTAGGTAAATAGAAATAAACTCTTTGTTTTTGAGCCGATACTGATATCACGTCCACGCCTCGTTTTTGTTTACCAACATTTAAAGGCAACATCTCATCAAAAGCACTTACTGCAACCATAGAATATCAAGTGCCTAGTGACATTTCAAAAATTTTCTTGTTATCATTTATCTTCCCAATACTTTTAAATCTTGCCTCACCCACTGTACTGTAGACTCAAAAACTGTCTCTTATTGTTCTAGTTACCAATATGGAAGAATCCCCAGAAACCACTCACACAACCAAAGAAACCTTAATCAACCAAAGCAATAGAAGCGACTCCGGCATCTTCTCGACAACCACTAACACAACCATCGACCAATCGGCTAATTGCGACAGCGACAATCGTAGCGACTGTAGCTCACCAGAACGCAACTACGTCTGTCCAATTTGCGACAAAATGCTGACCTCGCAACATAAATTCACTTTACACATCCGATCTCACAACAACGAAAACGAAGTTCAGGTCAACAACGAACTGAAAGGGTTCACTTGCAAGATTTGCCACAAAATTCTGAGTTCTAGTTCCAGCTTGGACAGGCACGTTTTAGTTCATAGCGGTGAAAGACCATTTCACTGCAAATTTTGTGGTGACACTTTTACAACTAATGGAAACATGCATCGCCATATGAGAACGCATTCTAGTAAAGGAGAGAATTATGAGTCTGACGGAAGCAGTGATAGTGGCAGTGGTAAAAGCATCGAATATAACAACAATAAAGTTGATTCTAAACATTCCAATAAAAGAAAACTGGAAGAGATTGAAGAAAGCAATAATAAAAAAGTTTGTAGCGATAATGATGATACTTCGCCACAATCTTTTAGATGTCCTGTATGTGAACGATCTGATTTTAATTCCATTGAAATCCTTGAGGCTCACTTAGAAGATAATCATTCAGAATATCCTGCCAAATGCAACCAATGTAACCAAATTTTCCTCAACAATAGGCTTCTTACTCTTCACAAGGAACGCCTACACAGCATCCCTAAACAATCCATTGTAGGCTTTGGAGATTTAACTTTTGTAGACTTTTCCAGCCAAAAATTCCCGCATATTGCCAGACATGAATGCGAAATGAACATGCACAGATCAATTGGAAATTTGAAATTTCAATGTCAAAAATGCTCCAAAGCATTCCCATGCTCAAATTCTCTGGATATTCATGAGAAAGTTTGCCTAGAATCACCTGCAGGTTTGAATTTAAGCAAACCAAACAATGGTATTTGCGAAGATGAAATAAGGCGAGCTGAATTTTTCTCGAGATTGAACCTCCAAGATAACTCTCCAGAAAAAAAAGTTCCTCCATTTCCTCCAAGAGAAGTTCCTCAAAAACTTCGGGAACAACTAGCTAAAGCTATGGATAATACCAAAGATTTGGCTGATATTCAGTCAATTTTATCCAATATCAATATGCAACAGTTGCAAAGCAAACACAACGAATTGAGGATCTCTCCATCTAAACCCACTGCTGAATCCGAATCAACCAAAAACGAAAACGAAGAAGAATCTCAAGATTCATTTGCCATAGAATTTAGAAAAATGAAACTCCGAGGAGAATTTCCTTGTAGATTATGCACTGCAGTTTTTCCCAATTTACGTGCCCTCAAAGGACATAACAGAGCGCATTTGAGTGGCAACAACAATGGAACTTATTTCTGCAACATGTGCCCACACTCTTCAATAGATAAAGCTGCTCTAATTCGTCATATGCGTACTCACAATGGCGATCGCCCTTATGAATGTGCACTATGCAATTATGCTTTCACTACTAAGGCTAATTGTGAAAGGCATTTGAGGAATCGTCACTCAAAAACTACCAGAGAAGACGTAAAGAAGTCTATTATTTATCATCCTTCAGAAGATCCTACCAATGACGAACTGAATAAGTTGACTGTGAAAGATGACAAGAAGTCTTTGCCGAGGGAAAGAGATTTGACTCCAGAAAAAGTTCATTGTTCCACACCAAAGATTCATTTGAAAAATGAAGTTACTTTTCCTGCTCCTACTTTGGTTCCTGATTTACAAGCTCTCAAACCAACATTCCATAACTTAGATTTTATGCGTAACGCAAAAGAAACCAAATATTTCAATCCTCCTTTCTTCCCACCTCAACCGTTTAACCTCACCACAAAATTACCTACTACCATATCTCATCTAGAAAATACTATTCCTACAAACAAAATTCAAGTTAAACCTTTTGAGGCACTGAAAGAACCTCTTAATGGTTCATTTGAGCATTCTGAAGATGATTATTATGATGATGATGAAGATGAAGAGCCTCCGATGATGGATGTTGCACTTGATTTAAGCAAAAAAAAAATGGATGAAGATAAACAACGAATGATGGAAAGAGATGAAGAAGATGAACCCCAAGATTTAACTAGTAAAGTGTCTAATAATAACTCCCCAGACATTCCCCGAACTGTTCCTAATGTAAATGAATTTTTTGCTCAACAATTACTCAAAAATCATCAAAAAATCGATCCTGCCGCTGCCCTGTATGCTACCCAACTAGCTAACTTGTACAGGACCGGTTTTCCTGGATGGCCTGGATTTCCTGTAAATCCATTGTTATTCCAGGCATTGCCACAATTGCCTCACACTCCTCAAGATATCAAAGAACGTATGCAACGTTTCCAACTATGCGGAGGATCCATGATCACTGATGAATTAAAAACATTCCAACCGCCACATTTTCAACAACATTCTCCACCAATGCCACCAATGGAGAATCCAGTTCCTAGCTTCAATGGCGTAGATACTAAACCTAATTCTTTTCTTCAACCATTACCAAAGCTTTCGGAAGATTCAGATGAATCTCGCAAACCTTTAACTATCAAAGTTGAATCGCCAAACTTCCATGATAGTAGCTTACCAAAAGTTGCAAAACCAGATCTCGTGCATTCTCCTAATTCAGTTAAAATGGTTATCAAAAATGGAGTTTTGATGCCCAAACAGAAGCAACGTAGATACAGAACTGAGCGTCCTTTTACCTGTGAGCATTGCTCTGCAAGATTTACCTTGCGTTCAAATATGGAGAGGCACATCAAACAACAACATCCTCAGTTTTGGTCTCAAAGGCAACGTGGAGCTATTGGTCAACCAGGGAGGAAGCCACAAGGACTTCTTTTGAAGCCTAGTTATGGTGATCTTCCTTCTCCTTTACCGAACTATGACCATCCAAAAATCCATGAATATGACGCAAGCAAAGTACATATTAACGAAAAGTTACGATTTGCTTTATTAGCTCAGCAGTTAAGAGCTAATCGATTCAATCAAGAGTTAAAACCAGATGACGATGACGAGGAAGACTGCGAGTTGGTGATTGATGAAAACGATAACAATAAGAATGAGGAAAACAACTTGGAAGTTGAAAAAAATCAAATTCTTCAACAGAAACTTAAAGAGTTTCGTGACCAAACGAGAAAACAGGGATTCAGGAGCGAGGAAGATTTGGTGCCAGTGTCCAGACTTTTGGACAATGCTTCGCAGCAACAATTCAAAGAGTACTTCAAGAGGGATGGTGATGAACACGAAGCTGGTACCGTCAGTGAGGAGGATGAAGAAGGACTGGTGGCCAGTGGGAGTACTAGCGAGGGGAATATATCCGGAACGGATGAAAACAGGTAAGGAACTGACTATTCTATTGAAAACTTAGACTTGAGACTGACTTATTTGGTTTAGTTTCAATTTAGAAAAAAAAAAATGGTGGCAAGCATTTTAGTTTAGAATTTAGGGTATTCAGAAATTTACATGTGACTATATGTATGTGTGAGTTGGAAGTGTCAGTTGCACCGCGACCAAGGTTGATCTATTAGACCCCCTCCTTCGAAGTTTGGTTTTCCCGCTCAAAACAGCCCCTCTAGTCCTAGGTTCTTTGGGAATTCTAGGATGTCCAGCGGTTCCAGGGCTGGATTGTCTTCCAACTCTATAAGGGCACTTCCAGGTTCTTCATCCTTGAGCGACTAACGTCATTGCAGTTCAGTAGAAGATGGTGAAGTGTCTCTTCTCCGTCTTCACAGAATCTGCAGGTGCCACCTTCTTCTAACCCCAACTTCTGTAGGTGTTTCTTAAGTCTGCAATGTCCCGAGAGAAACCCGGTTAGAGTCTTGAGACTTTCCTTGCTAAGGTTGACCAGCAGTTCTGATCTTTTTTGGTTGAAGTTGTCCAATAGATCTTTGGCCTGTCGTGTGTTCTAGCCATTGTTTGTCTCTTAGTCGGTTCTCTTCTTTTTTGAGGATTTCTTGGAGGTGCGCATTTCCGACGCCGCAAAATGGTTCTGGCCTAGTGAAGGCAGTAGACGCTCCCGTTCTTGCGAGTCTGTCTGCGCATTCGTTGCCCTCGACACCTATGTGTCCGAGCACCCACTGGAAGGTTACTTTGTTTTGTTTTCCCAGCTCGTTTAGTTTCTGTTGACATTCCCATATTGTCTCAAAATGGATGACCGGGGATCTCAATGCTGCTTGGCTGTCAGACATTATTACAATCTCTCGTTTCCGATAACTTCTGTTCAGGTTGAACTGCACGCATCTTTCGATCGCATGAAGTTCCGCTTGAAATCACGTCTTTCGGTAGATCCATGAGGTGTACACAGTTTGGGAGAGGAAAAGTTCTCCTAAGGTGCGTTTTCCTTTGCAGACCTATCTTCTTCAGCCTGAGACTTGATCCACTGGCAACCCGCTCCACTATTATGTGAAGTGGGGTGAGATCTAGAATGACTTCTAGTGCCGCGGTTGGGCATGATCTCATTGCTCCTGTTATACAACAACATGCGAGTCTTTGCAGTTTTCCTAGGGTTTTCCTAGCTGTTACTAACTGGGTTCGGCTATACCACAGGCTACCACTCCGTACGTGATTATAGGTCTCATTAGTCACTATCATGGTATGCATCCATCTTAGGATTGATGGGTTACAACCCCATGTTTTACCGCAATGTTTTTGCAGACCATTTACATGTCGATTCCAGAGAAGTTTAGAATCTAGGATTATTCCTAAGAATTTAACTTCTTTTTTCCAATCAAGTCTACCTCCATAGAGGCGAATGTTTCTCAGTTTGGCAGTTTTGTTCTTTTTGTAAATGTTATCAGTGTGGTTTTTGCTGAGTTTAGATTCAGCCCCACTATCTGACACCATTCCTTCGTGGTTCGAAGTGCGTTTTCTATAAGGTCGCAGAATATTCCTTCGTATTTGACTCTGGTTATGATGACAATATCATCGGCGTATCCAAAGCAGGTGAAGCCCTCATCGGTCAATAAATTTAGGAGGTCGTCAACTACTAGACTCCACATCAAAGGTGAGAATACCCCTCCCTGACATAATAAAATGCGGCAGTTTAAATCATTGTCTTTCCTGTTAATTTCTTGAAGGACTTAAAAATGGATTTGTATTAGTGTCAGTAGATTTGCAATAGTAAAAACACCATGGGGTCATTCAGTAAGACTTCACAATTTATTTAAATACATAATTCAATAAATTTCACAACTAATTTTCTTTTTTTATTTCAGATCCGAATCCGAAACCATCAACCCCACAACTCCAGTAAAAAAGAAGTCAGCTTACTCATTAGCACCCAACCGAGTAAGTTGCCCCTACTGTAGCCGCAAGTTCCCATGGACTTCCTCTTTACGCCGCCATATTTTAACTCACACTGGACAAAAGCCGTTCAAGTGTAGCCACTGTCCTCTCTTGTTTACCACCAAATCCAACTGTGACCGGCATCTCTTGAGAAAACATGGTAACTCAGCTACTACCATCGTTACTAGCGAAGCTACTAACAGTAACAGTACAAATTATTTGATGAGAAACGTTCCTGAGAGGCCTTTCAAGTGCTCGAACTGTCCTAGCAGCACCTTCTCCACCTACTCGAACTTAAAAAAGCATATAAGCTGCAAGCATTCCACTAACGCTCAAGGCGATGACATCAAAGCTCAAGGCTACGAAGCTGGAAGTTCAGAAGACGAAAAAGTCAATCAGCCTGAAAAAAACGATTGGGAAAGTCAAATAGCCTATAGCAAATTCGCTGTTGTGCCTAATCCAGAAGTTCACCCATCATCAAATCCAACACCAAACTCAGACTTACCATTCAAATGCCATTTGTGTGAAAGTTCTTTTGCTGAACGCCATCAAGCATTGGATCATATCAGAGACAAACACGCTTCAGAGTATGATCTTTTAATGTCCAAAAATGCTTTGGATGTTAATGCTACAACTCCAGACGAAGCACCACATCATGACGAAGAAGATACTGATATCAGAGGCAAATTTCCAGATTACTCTAACCGAAAAGTGATTTGCGCTTGGTGTATGCGCAGATTCTGGTCCGCCGAGGACTTACGTAGGCACATGCGTACTCATACCGGAGAAAGGCCTTTTAGTTGCGACATTTGTCGCAGGAGGTTTACTTTGAAGCACAGCATGTTACGTCACAGAAAGAAACATGCTTTGAATAACAGCTTTGAACATGATACGACCCATAGTGATGAAGATGGGAATAATGCTGAAGATGCTGTAGTTGTGAGGAGAAGTGTAGATGTAGAGGTTCCGGAAAGTGGTAGTGGTGGTGGGGGGGATTTGATTAGTAATCTTTTGGGTCTGAGGGATAGGTCGATTATTGATAAGGTACTTGACGCTTCTGCAGATGATGCTGCGAAGTTGTTGGGTGTTAAAAATGGAGTTAGGGAATAGATTGGAATTTATAAATTGTTGTAAAAAGTCAAATGATCTGACTTTTTCAAAATGTTAATATTATAAAAATAATTTAGGTGCGTTTTTCTATAACATGTAAATTCTCTAGTCAGGTTAATCCAACGAATATTTTTAGCATTAAAAATGCTCTAAAAACTAAATGATTATAAATGTATTTATTAATGATTGTAAATCCACATTGACGATGAGTAGATACTAGTTAAATAATGTATTTTTTTTAATAATTATGATTTTTTTTGTTATAACAATTTTGTACATATCATTGACAAAATGATACGGTCTAGGTATACCAAAAATTCTTTTATGCAATAACATTTTTGATAATGTTATTTGTTTAGTGTACAATACTTTTGCGCCTTTTTCCTCTCCAACATATCAAAATGTTTAAGCAATATAATATAAAAAAATAAATGCACTGCTAGATTATAAATTGTAAATAACATAATAATAATGGATAAACGGTCAGTTTTTTGTAGTTAATTTAACTTATTAATTTATTTATTTATAGAATATTTAAACAATCAAAACCAAATTTTCTTTTATATAAAATCAAAATATTTTTATTTTTTACTGTTGAAATTTTTAATTTTTGTTTTTTTTAGTATTATAAGGGTTTTTTTTTGGTGGTTAGAATGATAGTTTTTAGTTTATTTTATTGTGTGTGCTTTGAGCGTCAAATACTTATATAAAAATAAATTAATGCTTTTGAGCTTGTTGTGTATAAAATATATTAAAGGTGGAAAATTCTGCCCTTTTATATAATTAAAATATTAAACTATAATTAGACTGACACTATTTTGGTTTACCTTTGCACGTTATACAATTTAATTATTAAAAAATTTCACAAAATATTCACACCGCGTGTCTTAATAAAAAGCTTTTGACGTAAATCTTTGCACTTCCAAAAAACAAGTTTTTTGGAGGTGAAATTTAGGTTTAGTCAAATAAAAGCTAAAAAATTTAGCTATTTATATACTTAAGCAATTGGAGTGATTTATATTTAATTATATTATTCTAGATTGTAAGATGAATATTATTATTATTATTAGGCTTACATAATATTATTGTAAATTTTGTATGGTAATGATTTTTTCTGTTAAATGTGTATGCCATATTTAGAGAGTGTTTTATTATCGGTATATGACTTAAAATTAAGTATTTCACACATGACGAGTTTTTTTTCAATGTACCTTTTTTGTTTATTTTTATTTCGGTAAATAAATAAATAGATTTTAAATAAATAATTTTTGTTTTATTTTTTCAATTCCATTTGTTTCAAGTTTCAACAGAGTATTTTATAATAAGTTTACAACATTGAATCAATTACCTATTACTACTTAGGGGCAGATTCTTCTCCCATCTAGGAAATCTTTTTCCAGAAAATGTAAGACACAAAAATAGTATTAGACATGGAATGTATAATGATGTTGAAACTGAAAACATACCTACAGTGTGTCCACTTAAGTTCGCAGCATATGGGAAACTTTTATTATCAATTTTACGAAAAAAAGTTATTCCCTATAACAGTTTCTGCTTCTTGAAAAAATACTATTAAACTATTGAAACTTGAAATAGCAGGGTGGTTAGATAATAGAAAAATATACAGGATTTTTTGGTAGAAGTAGAAAAAAAACGACACGTCACTTTTTTTTAAAGCCTTTGATATTTTTTTCAGAGTAAGCAAGTCATATTACAGTCAAAAGATACCTTTCATTATAACGAACAAACCTGCCAAATTTGAAAAAAAAATTGGAAAAAGAATTTTTGAGCTAAGCACGTTTTTTTTTCTAAAACTTCGACACCCTGTATTCCAGAAACTACGCATTTCCGGACTCATGTTTATGGGAACTTTTTCCTCAAAATATTATAAGGAATCATATCCTAAGGTTGCGAACCGTGCTTAGGAAACACCCTGTATAATTTTTTGACACCCTGTACATGCTATTGGAAATTTTAGTAGTTTAATATTATTTATTCAAGAAGCAGAAACTTTTATAAAGAATAAAAAAGTCGTAAAATTGATAATAAAAAAGTCTTTCTCATATGCTACGAACTTAAGTGGACACACTGTATATCGATATAATGTATACATACAAAAATCATACCGATAGGTACTTTTATAAAATAGGTATCAATATCGGGTTTCGATATATGTATCTTTAAAAAATATCGAAATTAGGGTTGTTAAAAAAATATATCAACAACATCGACATTTTAAAAAAGAAGGAAGTTTTGGAAATAGGAAAAATTGGATTTTTTTGGATATTACAGGGTGTCAAAAATAACATGGGTCACCATTGGTATTGGTATATCGAAAACGGTGAGAGACATATTCTTAATAACCTTCGAAAGTGGCAACTTTTTTCTAATTTAACCGCCCTCGTATCTCTTACCGTTTCTGATATACAATACATACCAATGAGTGAAATTAGGATTGGATTTGGTTGAGAATACACTTGAGATGTAAAGGCCAGTGTTAGAGAAGGAACCATTAAAGTACATTTCTCTAGGTAATCCAGGGTCTTTTTTGTTTGCATTAATAAAGCCTTTATATTGTCTGGTAAGGATCTATACAGTGTTTTACATTGCGTTCTTAACATAGACAAAACATTGTACCCATCATCATCAATCCTCTGGCGAGTTTGAAAATTTGTCTTTTCTATGGGCTGCGTTCTTGAGTGAGATAAGGTCCTGAGAAAATTAGCGAGGGAATTTGAAAGTCGGTAGCTTTTTCTTGCGGAAGGTATAAATCAATTCCTCAATATAGGATTTCGTAAGAAGTGTTTATCATATTGTCTAATGGTTGGTCTCTCAATATATCATCACAAAGAACACAATTATGGTAATCTAAAATGGATTCAAAATCGGCAATTCTGAAATCATGATAAAAACAAGTTTGTTGCAAACCAGGAGAAGAAGGAAATTTGTGTTTGTAGAAATAGATGGGGGGGATCCTCTGGGACTAGAATATCTTCGGACCTAGTTGTGGATGTGCCGTCAATGTGGGAGAGAACAAGATCGAGAATAATGTTTCTGAAGTTGAGAATTGTGTTTAGTTGGTTGAAATCATGGCAATAACACAAGTAGGGTATTTGCTCTATGCAGTCTCGCTTTTAGGTGCGTGTTGTGGACGAAGATGAAAATGAGTCGGTAGTCCAACTTGCATGAGGCAAATTGAAATCACCCAAGGATACAAAATTCAGTATTTGGATACCAGTTCCGAAATTAAATCTAGGTACCTACCTATGCACAAAAGGTCCCATGATATGTTAACGCAGGAGTTAGGGGAAAAATACATTGCACATATTATGATAAATTTGCGTCTAGGAAAGTTCAGAAGCACAAAACACCGCCTCACAATTACAGTTACAACTTTCAATTTTTTATCAACAGCGATACATTCTTGTTTTTTTATATTCCATGATCTTAAATTTTCTCCATGTCGACAAATTGAAGAGCCGGGAATAGAAAAAAATTCAGACTAAAAACAGTGGCGGATGCAGGATTTTCCTCAGAGGGGGCGCAGGCTTAGAATTATCAACAATAATTTCTTGAAAACTTATTTTTACTTTACTTATCCGTGAAAGAATGTAGGTAGGTACATGGTGGTCCATTTTGGATACTTATGATATGAAACGTCAATTTCTCAGCCAGATACAAAAAAATGAACACCCCACTCTGCTGACGCTCAAATTTCATGAAATCTCGATTGGTGCAAACACTGCAAACCGTCTTTTGATACCTTCAACCGTTTTGCCGCTAGAGGATGTTTCTCGATTTTGAGCAATAAGGTGAAACCTCCCTAACTTTTTTATTTATGAAAATAATTGATTTCTAAATAAACTTTATGGAGGTACTTTTCCAAGCAGAATTCAATGGCTTACTCAATTTTTTCAATTTGTCTTATTTTTTTTTAATAAAAAACCCTAGGTTTACATTAATAACTCATTGATAGCTCTATTATTGCTTATTTTAATGATACATATAATGTTCAATAGGTTTTCTAGAAAAAAAAATTATAGATGTTCTCAATCAAAAGAAACAATGTGTTAGAAGGAGACCTATCTCATTTTCTTTATAGATATAAAGTCCTCTTCTAATACATTGTTTCTTATAACAAAAACAAATATAATTTTTCTACAACTGTCAAAAAATGATGATGTTCGCACACTCATGACAGTTTGCGAAGTGACACTTTTTTTCCCAGGTATTGATTTTTTAACGTTCCCATGTCGCTGTGCGCGAACTAGCTATTTCGCGCACGTGTGCGCGAAATAGCTAGTTCGCACACTGGGTGTCGTGGTGACACTGTCTTTGCACATACCTGTCAGGAAATCAAAAATAATTAAAATTCACCTACCTTTGATTGAAAATGCAATTTTGGCTCCGAATGATTAATATTTAAATGGAGTTGTAGAAAAAATATTGTTTGCAACTCGGGCGCGAAATACTTTGGTGATCTCGACTATTTTTTTAACTCGGCTGCGCCTCGTTAAAAAAATCAGATCTCGATCACCAAAGTAACATTTCGCGCCCGTGATACAAAAATAACTATTCTATCTATGATTTTTTTAAAATTTTAGTAGTTTTTGAGGCTCTCAGCCCCCCCCCCTCTAATATTTCTATTCCAGGCTCTTGAATTTTCTTTATTTTGAGAAATTCAAGAACCGGGAATAGACAAAAATTAAGATATAGAGAGAAAATATTTAAATTTGAGAGGAATTAGGAAAAAAATGGTAGAAAAATAAACACAAAAGTATTTTGTTCATATTCCAAGTCAAGAGCCGGGAATAGACATAATTTAGGATGAAAAAACTGAGAATTGAATGGAGAAGAAATGTAGAAAAATTGACAAAAAATGGTGAATAAGAGGATATTCAATATGTTTTTTTCTATAGACCTATCTAGTTTTACCTGTATGCGCGCGCAACACGAGGCAATGCATTATTATTGGCTAACTAGTACAGGTGAGAGGTGTTCGTTTTGCACGCTGGGCATCTCCTTGTCCATGTTCATTGCCCGTGGTCTGACAAGGATCAGAATTATGGTTGATAAATAACTTGACGTAGCTTGACAAGTAATCGATTCTCAATTGTTTGTGTTTTTGATTGACAAATACGTTGCACGTCACACGGTTATCCACCTTCCTTTTTTATCCCGTGCAAATAATAAAAAGGGATTGCTATACATAAGTCTAACATGGTTTGGTACGTTTTGCCTCGTCTTGCGCAATAAGCGTTCTGCGTCTTTTTCTATCTAATAAAGTTTTCGTATTATTATCTCTTTGTCTGGTAAAATAGATAGGTCTATTCCAGGCTGTTGATTTTTCATTAGGTTTTTCGACAAATTCAATTATGTATATTGCATAGGTACTATTAGGGACGGACGCCAACTCGGCACTTTATTGTACCAGGTAAAATTTAGACCCTTGACCGACCGGCCAACTGGACACCAAGGCTAAATAGAGACCGGCCATTTCGACACTTCACCTGGGCCAGCTCGACACTTTATAAACTAGAAACCAATTGAAAATCCTATATAGAGGTAGTAACAAATTTATTAATATTGGGATGCGCCAACGTAAAATGAGAAATCAGAATGAAATAACTCACAGGGGTTAGTTGTTGAAACTAGATTACTGTGCTTTGAAGCCCACATCGAAGGAGGAATTGCTGAATTTTCCGGGATGTAATTGTCTATAAGTCAGCAAATTTTTTGAAGTAGAGTTATTCTCCGGAAGATCGCAGACATAAAATTGTCTATAAAACACTCACTTACTCTGTCAGGAGCAAGAAAAGGTAGGTATGCCAAATATATTTGAAGCCATTTTCCATGCTCATTGCTCTCTTTACAAGTCGTTGTTCCTATACCAACTTTGGGCTAAATGGAATCTACAACTAAATATGTTTGCTTTGGGCTACGATAGAACTGCATTGTGGATAACAATAAATAAATTACACATAAAGTATTTATTATCCCCTAGACAATAGAGTGCTCAGTTGGCCTATCTCTTATAGGGGCTCTTTGAAAACTACCTGCGTTTGATGGCGCCGAGTTGGCCGGTCTACGTTTAGAACCTCAAGGGTTTGGTGCCCAGTTGGCCTGTACCCACTATTAGTAGGTAGGTATATTTCATAAGAGATAGGTACCTATCTATTTCAACATATTGAATTATGGAAAGAATGAGCACTACGACCAGTTTTTCACTGGACCTGGACATGCAAGAAGGGGTTTCT